GTGTGGTGGGGGCTCCAGGCCACTCAGTCCTACATAGTGAGACCATTTTAATAAACAAACAAGTTTGAGCGTGTTCCATGCTAACCAGGTCATTTGGACAAGACCAGAAAGACAAAAGGAAAGAGTGGGCTAGACAGACAGCCTTGAGGTTAAGAATATTTGCAAGTTGGGGCTGGAGAGATGGCTCAGAGGTTAAGAGCACTGACTGTTCTTCCAAAGGTCCTGAGTTCAATTCCTAGCAACTATATGGTGGCTCACAACCATCTGTAATGGGGTCTGGTGCCCTCTTCTGGCCTTCAGACATACATGGAAGGAATGCTGTATACATAATAAATAAATATTAAAAAAATATTTGCAAGTCAGGCAGTGGTGGTGATAACCTCTAATCCCAGAATCTGGAGTTGTTCAAGGCTAGCCTGGTCTACAGAATGAGTTCCAGGACAGTCAGGACTTTGCAGAGAAACCCTGCCTCAAAAAACAAAAACAACACAGCTAATAGCTGTCTATAATTCCAGTTTCAGGGGATCCAACATCCTCCTCTGGCCACCAGACATGCATGCAACACTCACCCACACAAACAAGATATATAGACAGGCCGGGTGGTGGTGGTGCACGCCTTTAATCCCAGCACTCTGGAGGCAGAGGCAGGTAGATCTCTGTGAGTTCAAGGCCAGCCTGGTCTACAAGAGCTAGTTCCAGGACAGGAACCAAAAAGCTACGGAGAAACCCTGTCTCAAAAAAAAAAAAAAAGTTATATAGTCAGAAATGGCTTTGTGGTTGGAACACTTGCTATTTTTCCAAAGGATCTGAGTTCAATTCCCAGCATCCATGCTTGGGGGTGGGGGGCGACTCATAACCACCTGCAACTCCAGGGGATCAGATGTGTCTCTGGACAGGCACCTACACACATGGCCGATACTGACCCAGGTGGACATACCATGCATAAAAATATAACAAAAAGTTTTAAAGAGAAGGGAGAACTGGAGAGGGGAGAGCAGGAAGGAATCTATTATTGAAAACTCCCATACGCTAAGGAGACAGAACGGCTGGGCAGGAGGCTGTTTGAGCCATTGGCGGTCGGAAGATGAGATACTAAGAACGCTGGATCTACTAGGCTTGGGGAAGAAGGAGAAACAGGGCAAGAGCTGTCTGTCTATAGGGTGTGTAGCTATAACCACCCAGAGAGCAGGTGCAGAGATGTGCAGCAGGACTCGGGACTGGAGCTGTCTCTTTAGGAAGTTGCTGACTTGAGGGAAAATGGGGCTGGGTGGTGGCACATGCCTTTAATCCCAGCACTGGGAGGCAGAAGCAGGCGGATCTCTGTGAGTTCGAGGCCAGCCTGCCTCTACAAGAGCTGGTTCCAGGACAGGATCCAGAACTACAGAGAAACCCTACCTTGAAAAACTACAAAACAATAGAGTTCAACTGTAAAGCCGAGGGGAAAGGGAGGCTGAGGAAAGCAGGAGAGCCTAACCCTTATTAGGCCAGATGTGAGCAATAGGCTGGGGACCAACACTCACTCCATAGCTGAGGGACCAGACCACTGGTGTGGTTTGAGGGGACATATTTCATGGCATCAGGATAGCGAAAACCAGGTCATGAAGCAGCTGACAAAAGTGATTCAGAAGCCGAGTATGTGGCTTCTGTGTGAGGAAGAGGCTTGGGATCCCTTCAATATAATTTCTGTGATTAAAAAATAGAGGGCTGATTTAATTCCGTCATCTGTTTCTGAGACAGGGTCTCACTGTGTAGCTCCTGGCTGACCGACTGGACATTTGTTATTAGTACCAAGCTGGCCTTGAATTCATAGGGGTCCACCTGCCTCTGCCTCCAGAAGGGCTAGGATTGAAGGTGTGTCCCTCCGGCTTAATATGTGTACTTATTTTTAGAATGATCTTACTACGTGGTCTAGGCTGGCCTTGAACTTTTAGCCCTTCTGCTTCAGTAGAGGAGAGGTCATGTGCCACCCTGCGTGCTCGGAGAAAGGAAGCTCGGTGATAAAGAATTGGCTTTACACATAAGGGATATAGCGCCAAAAGATGTTTTTTATATCCTAGCACATCTAGGACATGGAAGAGGCCAGCCTAGATCAGATAGTAAGATCATCCTAAAAATAATACACATATTAAACCGGAGGGACACACATCTTTAATCCCAGCCCTTCTGGGAGCCTAGGAATGTAGTGGCCGAGCACCTGTTGGGCACCCACAAAGTCTGGGGTTCAACCCTAGGTCTGGACTGGGATGCAGGAAGAGAGCGTGCTGAGGTAGGCCAGGAGAATGTGGGTGAGGGGCATCCAAGTGCTCTGAGAGGAGCCTTCAGAACAGTCCAGCCTGTTCCAGCTACTTTTCTCTAGGAAGGAGGAGGCAGACACCTCACAGAGACCAGAGTGGGTGGTGGAGGCTGCGATGCTGGCAATGGGGAAGAGTGTGCAGAGAAGCTGGCCAGGGCCAGGAGAGGCTGAGGGATCCCAGGTAGGGTTAAGGCGGGTGATGGAGAGGGAACCTCTGTACGATGGCTGCTCCTGTGAGCCTGGTCAGAGGGTTGTTTTTGTTTTTTGTCTTTGGTGACAGGTTCTCAAAACTGTAGGCCTGAGTGTGTAGGGATTGTTCTCTCTTGGCTTACTTAAGGCTTACCCCATGATCTCTCTTGAGTTTGAAGGTTGAAGACTTTTTTCTGGATAGGTCAGAGGGCAGGATGAGAAGAAAATGGAGGCATCTTCAGTAACTGAGATGACCGCCTTTGAGAAGTACAATGGCTGACCCCCTGGCTGGGTTGGGGATGGTGTTCTAGCTATGTCCTCCCTAACTGTGAAGAGCACTGGCGAAGCCAGTGTGGTGGTGCACGCCTTTAATACCAGCACTTGAAGGCAGAGGCAGGCGGATCTCTGAGTTCAAAACCAGCCAGGTCTACAGAATGAGTTCTAGGACAGCCAGAGCTACAGAGTAACCCTGCCTAGAAAAACAACCAAAAAACAAGCTAAGCTGAGCAGGGACGGTGGTTAAGGCCGCCTGCCAGCAGCTTCGAGCTTACCAAGCCTTCCTCTCCTCCTAGTGACCAGGACAAAGGGAACGCACCTGAAAAGAAGCCCCTGCAGCCCTCTCCATGGAGCTCATGAGGTTGAAGGCCTTCCCTTGTCCCCTGAACCCCAGGGACCACTTCAGAAATCCACTGCCCCCAAAGCAGACCCCTCTCCAGCCTCAGAACCTCCTGACCCCTCCCACTCACCCCCAAAATAAAGGAACCAAAAGTGGACACAAGTATGAATCTTAAATTATTATTCTTTCTTCCATCACTTACACCCGAGGTGGGGGTAGGGGGAGATGAGGGGGATGGGGGAGGGGGGAAACGCTTTCCCCCACTAAGGCACTGAGTGGGAAAGCCGCAAGTAGAGAGAGTGGAAGTCACAGTGTCCCCACTCTCTGGGACTAAGCCCCAGGTTTCTCCAGCCCTGGGCTCCCCTATCACCTGAAATGCTAAGATGAGGCCCAGGGCTCCTGACCTCCCTTCTAATATATTACATCATCACTTTTTAAATAGATACAGGGACTGGTCCCGCCACCCCTCCCTGTCTGACCCCTCCCCACTATTGGGGGTACCTGGGCAGCTGTGCAAATGGGCATGGAGGTGCATGGGGAGAGGAGAGCACCGGGCCCCTGAACCTGCCCCTTTTAAGGAGGGGGAAGGGCCACCAGGCCAAAGGGGGTAGGGGAATAGTGCAAGGCAGAGCCCAGGCCGCAATGGGGGTCCAGCACCCAGCGAGGAAGGGGTAGGGTGAAGATTCTTCTCCACCCCAGGAGAATTGGTAGTTTAAAATGTGAAATTGGATTTCAACAAGACCATCAGAAGAGGCTATGTACAGAACAGGGGTGGACTCAGTCCTAAGAGCAACGGGCAAGGTCTAAGGAACGGACTCCTTTCCCCGAGGTCTGCTCCTCAGTTCACTTTTCCCAGGGGCAAGTGAGCTGCTTAGCTACCGTGTTGGCAAGGGGGTTCACAGGCCAGGATGGCTGGGTGTGACATAAGTTCACTGAAAGTGGTCGCTGCGGGGCGCTCGCCCTTACAGGGCATGGCCACCAGATGGCGCTGGCTTGCCCGCGCCCTGCAAGGCTACCTCAACCCCTCACCCCAACCCACACCCAGCGCCTGCCAGCCCGGGGGCGGCGTGAGTCAGGGGCAGCAAGCAGCAGAGGCGGCTCCGGCTTGCACCTGGGCGGGGAGGTGGGGAGGAGAAGAGGGTAAGACGCCCGGCCCGCCCTGCCCTCTGGCCCCAGGGAGGGAGCGCCAGGAACAAGACATTCCCTGCCCCGGGACGCGGGAGGGGAGAGGTGGAGAGCTCCCTTAGCTGGGAGGAGCCCTTATGCTACCCCCCAGGGGCGGGCGAACCAATCAAGCCACCCTGCCCCCTTCTCCAGGACCCCATGACTCAGCATTGGAACTGGGTGGAGGGGGGGAACTGGGATGGCTCCGTCCTTACAGGCCCAGTCTCCCCCCCCCCGCACCCCAATCTTTCAAGCTTCTACCATGTTACCCCCACTTACCCTTCCTTTGCCACCCCCCTTTGCATAATTTACTGCCAGAAAAAGGGAACAGAAACCAGGAAGGAGGGGTCTCGGAAGGGAGGGGCAGTCCACCCCCTCACACACAACCAAAACCCAGGGGGCATGGGAGTGCGACAGGCTTTGGTCCCAAGCCCCAGACTCCTAGAAACCCGCATAGCCGAAGTGGGACCCCACAAATCAAAGATAGATTATTGCTTCAATTCCCCAGTAGCAGCTGGGGACAGGGACCCTACCTTTACTGTGTGTGCAGTGCCTGTGACATACAGATACACACACATAGATATTTCATGTATAACGCCTTGGGTGATCACCCCAATCTAGAGAGCTTGTGCCCCAAAACCTCAGCTTGGAATTGGAATGAAGGCTCCTGGGGAAAAGGGGGTTGATTCTGATGCCAACGAGGCTCAGGATCCCTGACCACTTGTCTTATGTGCTCCCCATTGTGTGGCATGGTATCCCAGGCCTGTGCTGTTCCAGCCTGGCCATTCACCCTCTTTTAAGAGGACTCCATGGCACCTTCAGCCTGTGGTGTGGTAGGTGTCCCCTCCTCCTCCTCAGGGGGCCCTTGCGTAGTGACTGGGGGTCCTGTGGGGGCTGACTGCTCCCAGAATCGGGCCAGAGTGAGGCGGAAGGTGTCCAGGTGGCCATTGGAGAGGTCAAGGCCAGCGGGGGATGGGGCGGTGGTCGAGGGGGGCGGGTAGTGCGGTGGCGCATCATCTTTGCGGCGCCTTCGGGTGCGCACCTCCAGGCAGTTCTGGCCCTTGAGATGGCGCTGCAGGTGGTCCTCCTTGGCGAAAGCCTTGTGGCACAGGTGGCACTCATAGGGCCGGTCCCCAGTGTGCAGGTGCATGTGGTTCTTGAGGTCGTAGCTATGCAGGAAGCGGGCTGGGCAGTGTGGGCACGAATAGGGGCGCTCTCCTGTGTGCTTCCGCATGTGGATCTTCAGCTTGTCATTCCTGGTGCAAGCAGGGGAAAGGGTGGCACCGGTCAGGCCTCCAGCCGCTCGCAGGCCTCATCCCACTCTCATCCCTCCCTGCTCTTTCCCCAGCACTGCCCCAGGATACTCTTTCTGATTGGCTCCTAGCTTATGGGCCCTGCACCACCTGCGCCTCTGTACCCAGGCAACCTTCTTGGGCGCTAGACAGCTTACAGGCATCCTCTCTGGTTGCCTCTTTTGGCCTCCCAGCTCGTTCCAGGAACCCGCAAGAGTTCTGGTCCCCACTAGAACCATCTGCGGTCACTCTCTCAGATCCCATACCCACCTCAGCCCACTCTGGGCCCTGGGCCCCACTTGGTGCTCACCTGGTGAAGCGGACGCCGCAGACCTCACAGGCAAAGGGCTTCTCACCCGTATGGGTCCTCATGTGGCGTGGCAGTTTGCCTGCTCCGTGGATTATCTTGTGACACACTGGGCACTCTTGGGGCATCTGTGAACGGCGTTTGCGCACCAGCTTGTCTTGGCCATCCAGGCCTGGTGCCAGGGCGTCCTGGTGCAGGGAACTTAGGTAGGCCATCAGGTCAGGATCGATGGTGTCTTCATCTGAGCCCAACTCCTCTGGTGATAGTGAGGGCTCGTTGCTCTGTGTTAGCCCATAGGCTGGGGGATATGCCAGCTCCTCCTCCTCTTCCTCACCCTCGCAGACCTCATAGTTCAGGGGCCCCTCAGGAGGTGAGGCAGCACCCGCGGGAGGACTGTAGCTGTCCCCAAGCCCACTGCCCCCAGTGTTGCCCACTCTATTAACCACCCCTTCTTCTTCGTAGGTCAAGGGATGGGTGAGTACCGTGGGCGGCTCAGGGACCAGATGGTTTGCTCGGGCCCCCTTGGTTTGAAGAAAAGCTTTTCGGGGCTTGCGGCTGCGGCGGGCAACAGGTCGAGGTGGCGGTGGCGGTAGGAGGAGGGGCACCTGTGGAGGGCTATCTTCACCATTGGGCACTCCCGAAGCTGAGGCTGTGGTGGTGGCAGTGGCAAAAGCCTCCAGGTACTGTCGGGCTCGCTCACAGTCATCCTCATCTGGGCTAGGGGCTTCTAGCCCACTGCCTTGTAGAATCTCCATGCAGGCAGCAATGACACAGGGGATTTCCAATAGCCGTGCAGCTTGGAGGACGGCTGGCATGTTGGCGCTGCTGGTTGTCAGTGTGGCTGTGTAGGCAAATTCAAGCAGGGCACCCAGGGCCTCTGGCCCTACAAAGTCCAGCTCACACACACCGGCCCCTGCTCCTCCGGCAGCCATCCCGCCACCTCCTCCTGTTCCCATAACCGCGCTCCCCCCACCCTCCGTGAAGAGCTTCTTGAAGTAGTGGCTGCAGGCGGCCAGCACAGCCCTGTGGGTGCGGTACTCTAGCCCCTGCGTCCTGATGGTGAGGTCGCATAGATGGCCCAGTTGGCGCTGCTCATTGAGGCAGCTCAGCAGCTCACTGCTGTGGTCTGGGAATGGAATGCCAATCAAGTCATCTTCAGGGCTCCCCATCTTCTCCTGCAGGGTCAAGGACAGGGTGAGGTTAGAGCCCTCCTTCCTGTATGGGGAGCTGGCTCTCTTACTGGAGGAGGGCCCCATACTGGCCACTCTTTCAAGTGCCTTATGTTTGTTAGTATCCCATACCCTTCCAAAGTGTGACCTCCTTATACGTCAAGTACAAAGGAACTGCTGTTTGGACAGATGAGGCAACCTGCTTTCCAGGTGAAGTGCCAAGCGTGTAGGGCCACCGGCAGCCCCAGCCCCACCTCACCTCCCAAGCCTTGTACTGCTTTAGTCTGCTTCTGGGCAGTCCTGCCTTTCTGTTAGTTTCTAGACAGACCTTCCACTTCACCTTTCCTATCCCCTTGTTCTTAAGAAGAACCACTGAGCTGGGCAGTGGTGGCGCACGCCTTTAATCCCAGCACCTGGGAGGCAGAGGCAGGTGGATCTCTGTGAGTTCCAGGTCAGCCTGGTCTACAGCAAGTTCCAAGACAGGCTCCATAGCTATGAAGAAACCCTGTCTCGAAAAAAAAAAAAAGGTTTGGGCTTCAGAAAACTAACTAGAAGGACTAGAAGGACATGGTGACACTGGCTTGCTTCAGACATCTGCAAACTGGGGAATGGTCTCTGGTAGAACCTCCTGGTAGCTCTGGTAGATGCCAAGGAGACTTCAGAATGCTAACACACCAAAGTTGTCAGGTAAGGCATTGTCTCGGTTCTGTCACAAGCATCCCTACAAACAAAAGGAACCATCCTCGCCAGATGGTGGTGGGGCTGCGCAGGTCTTTAATCTCAGGGGATAGAGGCAGGCAGATCTCTGTGAGTTCAGGGCCAGTCTGGTCTACAGAGAGACTTCTAGGACAGCTAGGAGTACACAGAGAAACTCTGTCTCAAAAAGCAAATAAAAAAGAATCATCCTCTTCCTCCTCATGCCCCCACCCCCAGAAAGCCACCCAAAGTTCATCTTTCCTTCAAGATCCCCGCTCCCCACATCCTCCCTCATGGCCAAGGAACAAGCTACCCGATGCTGGGGTGTCACTGGCGCAGATACTTCCTGCCCCCCAGATAAGCATCACCCCTGCTGCTGAAAGGCCAAGTCCCACCCCTGCCCTCCCCCTTAAACTGTACCATCTCTCTTCCCCGGTCCAGAGGACCCTGCCTCTCCAGAGGCAACCTTAAGTGTTTCACCATCCACAGGGGTGGGGAGGGCAAGGGTTGGAGAGTGGCCTAGTTGAGTGACCTTGAACAAGTAAGTCTCTGTGGTAAGGGGCCAGTGTACCAGGCATGGCACAGTGCCTAGCACGCAGTAAGGGCTCAGTCAGTGGTCTGGCCAATACTTTCCTGTTACACAAGAAGGGGTTGAAGATACCAAGTGTGGTGGCGCACACCTTAAATCCCAGCACTTGGGAGGCAGAAGCAGGAGGATCTCTGTGAGTTTGAGGTCAGCAAAGTTAACTTCCAGGACAGCCAGAGCTCTGTAGAGAGACTGTCTCAAACAAAACAAACCAAAACAACAACAACAACACAACAAGAACAACCAAACAGGGGCTGGGAAGAGAAGCTGCAAGAGCCCAGCCCATTTGCACTGACAGATTTAGTCTAGAACAGTGGTTCTCAACCTGTGGGTCTGGACTCCTCTGGATTCCAGCGGGCGGCACTTTTAAGAGGTCACCTAAGACCTCAGGGAAACAGACATTTGCATTAAACAGTGGTTGTGCAGCAGTGGTCAGAAGAATCTTATGGCTGGGGTCCCGACAAGGTGAAGGACTTTTAAAGGGTCTCAGCGTTAGGAAGGTTGAGAACCAATGGCCTAGAGCTAACAAAGACTGGAGAGCTGGGCTCAACCAGGCTTGAGTTTGAATTCTTAGCTTTGGTCTTAAGCAAGTGATTTTATCTCTGAGCCTCTTTCCTCATCTTGATACTGGATAATTCCAGCTGACTCCAGGGGTTGAGAGGGGTAAGTGAGGCCAGGTGTGGCAGAAGGCCTGACACACAGTAGGACTCAGTCAGTAGTAGTTCAGCCTCTGGGTAGATTCCAGCGCACGCGGCCCTGCTCAGAGAGCTGCTGGGAGACAGGTCGGCCTCTCTCCTCCCTGAGGGAGCCAGGGAGCTGCCTGACCTTGGACAAGTCACTTCCTTTGCGCTGAGGCCTAGTCCTCGGTGTAGGTAAAGGCGACAATCCTTAGGGCAAGTCCCTCTGACATTTTGTCAGTGTCCTCCCTGACATTCCAACAGCTGGTCAACCCTAGCCATCTATGGGAAAGACTTTTGGTGGGTGGGGGTGGAAGTCAGGGGCTACACTGTCACAGTGGCCGACTTGCTGGCCACCTTCACCGCAAAGATGGAGCGCTGTATGAAGCGAACGGGGGCCACTTGTCTGCTTGGAAGTGACACCTGGGAACCCTCAATAGCTCACCTGTCCCCACCTTAAGCCCCCAGACCACTTCTCCTAGGGGACCAAGCAGTATGGAGTCCTCTCCTCTCCCTGTACTTTACATACGGTTAGAAAGGCCCCAGGACTTAAGAATAAACAAGAATCAGGTGGGTACCAAGAGTAGAAGCAGCAGCAGTGACTGCCACTTAAACAGCAGTGGGCACCCTCCTGGGCCCAAGTGCATCATATTCCTCCTAAGGGGCACGGGTGGAGCTATCCTTGCTGCCCATTGGCTGAGCTGGGCACCTGGAGACACGTGGCTCACCCCATCCTTCACCCTCCTTCCCTACCCACTCCACCTATTCCCGTTGGTAAACCTGTCTCCTTTCTCCCACCCCAGGGCTGATCTCCATGGCAACTTGGTATGGCAGGTGCACTGATTGGCTGATCTTGCTATCAGGGCACAGGTCCGAGTGGTTCACCACCAACTCACTCAGGGCTCGGGCAAGGGTGGGTGTTTAGTTCCTTAGGCCCAGATCCAATGCCTATGGCCACAAGGTATCGAGGAAGGACTAGAGAGGCAGATGGCATACAGCGAAGGAGAGGGTGTTCTGGGAAATCCCCTAGCCCTGGCACCCATACCAACTGAGGTGCCACCTGGAACTCTGACGGTGCCAACCAGGCCAAGGGGGCACTCCTAGCTCTATCATATGGGAGGAGTTGGTGGGGTGGAGGCCTCCCCTTCTTTCTGCCAGGGTGGGGCACTGGTGCCAGTGTGCCCACCCCACCTTGGGCACCCTTCCCACATCTGTATCCCAGAGGGCCCAGTCCCCTTGAGACGCCCCATGTAGGCAGCCCATCCCCACCCAGCCTGGCATGCCCCCTCTTGCTAAGACCTTGTGGGCATGGGTGTGTGTGGTGGTTGGGGGGGCAGCTGTGCCAGGGAACCAGGCAAGGTCTGTTTGGTCTGTTTGCCTGGTAGGGGAAAGTACTGGGGGCCCCGCCCCATCACTCCCCTCTTTCTTGCCACCCCCCCCAGGCTCCCCTCATTGTCAGGCCTGCTAGACCGGCCAGGCCAGTGGGCAGCTTTCTTGAAACCAGGCCCTGTGTCAAGCCTGCACCATCTTTGGTGGGGGAAAACTTGAGGGTGACATGGTGAAGGGTGACAAAGATGGGAGTCCCCATGGCCTACCCATCAGTACCGAGAGGCACCTGTTAGAGTGTGTCTACCAGACAGCTAAACGCAGAGGGTGCTGGCCTTGAGAAGACAAAGGCAGCTAGAATCTTCCAGGTGCTGACCTTAGGCAGCTTCCAGACTAGGGCTGAGGGGCTCCAGGGCCAACCATGCCGGTCTGAGCCAGCTGAAGGGCAGGCATAGGAGGCCCTGAATGGGGCAGCCAAGTAAAGCTGGCTCCCCCTTCTCCCCACCTTGGGGATTAGGGGACTGAGGCTTAGTGTGGGGGGCAGCCGACAGAACCAGGATTAGTGGCGTAGAAAATAGATGTGGGCTGATACACAGACGCACAGAGCATCACCCCCCACTCCGCCCCCATTCCAAGGCCCCTTCTCTGCCAGGGAACCAGAGAGGGTGAGGACCAGGCGGAAACACCTTCCTGCTAGGGATGACTGAGACCCAAGACTGCCCAGGGCTCCTGGGCTGGTCACCCCTCCCCCCTCTTTCTCCTTTCTGCCCCCACCCCCTAACCCCAGCTCCAGCCTCAGGTTCTCTTCCTGTTTTTTTGGAGCGCAGTTTGCACGAAGCTAGGGCTTTGGCCTGTGGCTGGACCAGAAGGATAGGGAAAACTGGACAGACAGTTCAAAGTTCTCGGGGACCCAGGAATCCATATTCCATGATTCCCTCCAACCTTTCTGGGGCCAAAGGGTCACTGACATCTTAACTGCTCGGTTTCAGGCAGGTGAGGCGGCTGAGCCACATGTCACTGGAGGACTGGAAGAACTTACACAGACAGGGCCAAAAGACAGGTCCTGGGTCCAGGGATGCCCAAGACACTTAAAGGAGCTCTCCTCTGCAGCCCCTCTAAACTTGTACATGTCTTCCCCATCCCCCCATGTGACGCTTCCCCCCCTCCTAACCTCACCACCCCCAGCACTCACACTTCCTGGGGGCCAAGGCGGGGAAGAGAGACCGCAAGCCACGAAGGGGGAAGGAGGCAAGGGGAGTTGGCTGCTTCCCGGTGCGGTGGGGGTTAAGCTCCCACCAGGTCCCGAGCCTGGTGCAGGGCTCCTGATTTGAAGGTTACCACCATGCTCCTTTTCTCTCTAGCATATGGCCCTTTAGCCCATCAAGGGGAATGGACCGAGATCAAGATGGCGGAGGAAGGAATGGGGCGCTGCTTCCCCAGCCTCGCATCTCCACCTCTGGGGACCCCAGCTCATGGGCAGCCCCTGACTCTCAGCCTTCCTTGTTTGGACCTCTCTTTAGTCTTTCAGCCTTCTTTCCACCAGCTGTGGCCTCGTCTTCCCAGCACAGGATTGAACCTGGGTTCCCTTCCTTTCTCGTCTCTCCCATCTTGTCCCACAGGCTGCTGCTAGGAACCGTCCTCAGAGATTTTCTTCCCGACTCCCATCACTTCTCTCACTGACCTCTCCTGAGCCCAACATCAACTGCTCCAAGCCTGTGCAG